ATCTTGCCTTTCTCATTGGAGGATAATTGCTTCATTGGAGGATAATTGCTTTACAGTATTCTGTTGGTCTCTGCATATGGTAGCCATCCTAAAATGTATGAGATAATAATTCATTTTTATTGAGCATTTCTAGTTTATATTTCTATAATGATTACCAATGTTATCTTTTCATGTTCCTGTTAGCCATTTTCTATCCTCTAGCAAAAATTTCTATTTAGTTTCTCCACCCAATGTTTAATCACATAGTTTAACTTCTTGGAATTGAGTTGTATGAGTTCTTCACATATCTGGTATGCTAGCTCCTACTAGACATATGACTGACAGATATCGGCATCTTCTCCCATTCCACAGATGGCCATTTCATTTGTTGCTTCTTTCTATTTCTCTTACTTTAATTGCAGTACAGTTGATTCAAACTGTTGTGTTGGTTTCTACATGAATCATCCACAAATATACATTTTCTCCACCCTCTTGAGCCTCTCTCCCACTTCATCTCACTCTCCAGCTCATCACGAGCACTGAGCTGAGTTCCCCGTGCTATATAGCAGCTTCCAACTAGCTATCTATTTTACATGTGATGGTGTACACATGTCAACCCAACTTCCTCGATTCTTCCCACCCTCTCATTCCCCATTGTGACTTGGGGTCACAAGTCAGTTCTTTACATCTGCATCTATTCCTGCCTGGCAGGAACATATGCAAATATGCTTACCCCTATCACTTTTCTAGTTTCCATATACATATATGGACATGTATATGTATATGAGTGTGGTATTTGTATGTGATGTGTGTGTTAATATATGATGTCTCTTTTCTCTTTCTGAGTTATGTCCCTCTGAAAAACAGGCTCCAGGTTCATCCACCTCGGTCCAACTGGCTCACACTAAGTCCTTTTAATGGCTGAGTAATATTGCATTGTATATATGTACCATAAATTATTTATCCATCCTCTGTCTAATAACATCTAGGCTGCTTCCATATACTAGCTATTCTAAATAGTGCTGCAATGAACACTGGGGTACACGTGTCTTTCTGAGTGACTGTTTTCTCAGGGTATATGTCTAGAAGTGGGGTTGCTGGGCCATATGGTAGTTCGATCTTTAGATTTTTAAAGAATCTCCAAACTGTTTTCCATAGTGGCTGCATCAATTTGCATTCCAACAAACAGGGTATCAGGACTTCCTTCACTCCGTATCTTTTCCACATTTATTGCCTATAGGCTTTCAAAATTTTTTACTGGTTTCTTCTATACAACATGAGCCAGCCATAAATATAAATATTCACTATCTTGAACTTCCTCCCACCTCATCCCAACCATCCAGGTCATCACAGACCACTGACAGAACACTACGCTGTGCTCCCTGTGTTATGTAGGCACTCCCCACTAGCTTTCCGCTTTACACATGATAGTGTATACATTTTGATGATACTCCCTCGATTTGTCCAACACTATCCTACCCTCACTGTGTCTCCTACCCTCACTGTGTCCACAAGTCCATTCTCCACATCAGCATCTCAATTCAAGCCCTGCAAATAGCTTCATCATACTATTTTCCTAGATTTAGTATATATTGTTAATGTATATTTATTTTTCTCTTTCTTACTAAGTTAACTCTATCACAGGCTCTAGTTTATCCACCTCAGTAGAACTGATTCACATTCTTCCCTTTTAATGGCCGAGTATATCTGATTATATATATGTACACAATTTCTTTTCCCACTCATTTAATTTTAAAATTTTGTTTTAATTAGATAATTAATTTACACTATTGTGATAGTTTCTGCCATATATCAACACGAATCAGCCATAGGTATATATTATATATATATATATGTGTGTGTGTGTGTGTGTGTGTGTATCCCCTGCCTCTTGAACCTCCATCCCACCACCCACCCCCATCCCACCTCATATGTTGTCAGAGAGCACCAGCGTTGGATTCTCTGAATCATTCAGCAAATTCTCACTAGCTATCTATATTACATATGGTAATACGTATGTTTCAATGTTGCTCTCTCAAGTCATCCACTCCCACGTCATAAACAAAAGTCTGTCCTTTACATCTGCATCCCCTTTGCTGCCCTGCAAATGTGTGCATCAGTATCATCGTTTTAGATACTGTATGTATGCATTATTATATCACATTTGCTTTTCTCTTTCTGACTTACTTCACTCTGTTTCATAGGCTCTAGGTTCATCCACCTTATTAGAACAGATTCAAACATATTCCTTTTAATGGCCAAGTAATATTACATTGTATATATGTACAACAGCTTCTTAATCCATTCACTTGCTGAAGGGCATCTAGGTTGCTCCCACGCTCTAGCTACTGTAAATGCAGCTGTGGTGAATGCTGGGGTACATGAGTCTTTTTCAATTGTGGTCTCCTTGGGGTATATGCCTAGGACTGGATTGCTGGGTCATATATTTCTAGTTTTATTTCTAGTTGTTAAGGAATCTCTATATTATTCTCAACAGTGGCTACATCCATTTACATTCCCACCAACAGGGCAAGAGGATTCTCTTTCCCCCACACTCTTCCCAAATATCTACTGCTTATAGATTCTATGCTGATGGTTTTTCTGCCCAGAGTAAGTTACACCTCATTGTAGTCTTGATTTACATTTCTCTAGTAATGAGTAACATTGAGCATCTTTTCATGTGTTTAATAGTCTTCTGTATGTCTTCTTTGGAGAAATGTCTGTTTAAGTCTCCTGCTCACTGTTTTAATTAGCTACTTTTCTGGTATTGAGTTGCTTGTGAAGTTTGGAGATTAATCCTGTCTCGGTTGTTTCATTTACTATTACCTCCTCCCATTTTGAATGTTGTCTTTTCATCTTGCTTATAGTTTCCTTCATTGCTAAAAACGTTTGCCTTAATCAGATCAGATTTGGTTATTTTTCTTTTTATTTCCATTAATCTAACAAGTAGGTCATAGAGAATTTCACCATGATTTATGTCCAAGAGTCTTCCGCCTATGTTTTCCTCTAATAATTTTATAATTCCCGGTCTTAGGTTTACAATATAATTTGAATTTATTTTTGTGGATGGAAGTGTTATAACTTCATTGTTTCACATAGTTTTCCAATTATCCCAGCAGCCCTTATCGAAAGGGCTGTCTTTCTGCAGTTGTGTGTTCCTACACCTTTCATCCAAAATAAGTTACCCATGGATTTATCTGCAGCCTCTATGTTCTTCCACTGGCATATATTTAGGTTTTCAAGAAAGTATCACACTTTCTTGGTGTCTGTAGCTCAGCAGTATAGTCTGAAGCCAGGAAGGTTGATTACTCCAGTTCTCATATGCTTTCTTAAGATAGCTTTGAATATTTTGGTACTTCTGTGTTGGCACATGAATTGCGAGGCTTTTGTGGTTGTTCTTGTTGTAGTTGTGTGAGAATACTTTTAGTCTGATAGGGATTGCACTGAATCTACTAATTGCTTTCAGTAATATAGTCATTTTCAGAATATAGATTCTTTCACTCCAAGAAAGTGGTTATCTCTTCATCTGCTGGTGTCGTCTTTCATTTCTTTCATTAGCCTCTTATAGTTCTCTGCATTTAGGTATTTTCTTTCTTTATGCAAATGTATTCCTAAGTATTTTACTCTTTTTGTTGCACTGATGAGTGGAATTTTTTCCTAAGCGTCTCCTTTACTGTTCGTGTATAGTGGTGCAAGGGATTTCTGTGTATTACTTTTGTATTCTGCTGCTTTATTATATTCATTGATTAGTGCTACTAATTTTCTGGAGGCATCATTAAGGTTTGCTACATAAAGAAAAAAACTGTCATCTGCAAACAGAGGGTTTTCCTTCTTTTACTATCAGGTTCTGTTTCTTTCTCTTTTCTGATTGCTATGGCTAGGACTTCCAAAACTATGTTGAATAACAGTGGTGAGAGCTGACTCCCTTGTCTTGTTCCTGATTTTAGAGGAAGTGATTTAATGTTTCACTGTGGAGTATATGTTAGCAGTAAGTCTGTTATATACAGCGTCTAAGTAGCCCTCAGAGTTAACAAAAGAGTCTGAAATGCAGTACTTGGCTGCAATATCATAAGTGACAAATGATCTCAGTTTAATTATAAGATAAAATATTCAATATCACAGTAATGCAAGGCTATCTGCCAACACCACTACTGCCAAAGGAACTGAAGTTTAATGGTTCTATACAGACCTATGAGATATTCTAGGACTAATACCCGCCCCCCCAAAAAAAAAATATCCTTTTCATCATATAGGATTGGGATGCAAAAGTAAATGTCAAGAAAAGCCTGAAGTAAACAGGGATGTTTGGCCTTGGAGTACAAAATGAAGCAGGGCAAAGTCTAATAAAGTTTTTTTGTTTTTGTTTTTTTTTACAAGAGAACACACTGGTCGTAGAATCACCCTCTTCAAATCACAACAAAAGAGATGACTCTACACATGTATATCACCACATGGTCAAAACCAAAATCAGATTGCTTACATTATTTGCTGCCTAAGATGGAGAAGCTCTATACAGTTAGCAAAAGAAGACCTGGAACTGATTGTGGATCTGGTCCGCCTTGTTGGAAAATGAAGGCTAAAACTGAAGAAAATAGGGAAAACCACTAGGCCATGCAGGTAAAATGCTCAGTTCCCTTTCGACTACCCAGTGGAGGTGATCACAGACTCAAGCAATAAGATGTGGTAAACAGAGTGCCAGAGGAACTATGTAAAGAAGTTCATGGCATTGTACAGGAACCAGTGACCCAAAACTATCCCTAAGAAAAAGAAACACAAGAAGGCAAAATGGTTGTCTCAGAACACTTTACAAATACCTGAGGGGGGAAGAGAAATGAATGTCTAGGGAGAAAGGGAAAGATATACCCAACTGAATGCAGAGTTCCAGAGAAAAGCAGGGAGAGATAAGAAAGCCTTCTTAAGTGAACAGTGCGAAGAAATTGAGGAAAACAACAGAATGGGAAAGACTAGAGATCCCTTCAAGAAAGTTAGCAATATCAAGGGAACATTCACCAAGGATGGGCATGATAAAGGGCAGAAATGATAAGGACAGAACAGAAGCAGAAGAACTTAAAAAGAACTGGCAAGAATACAAGGAAGAACTAACAAAAGAATTCTATCCTGATGACGGGGATAACCATGATGGTGTGGCCACTCAGCTATAGCCAGACATCCTGGGGTGCTAAGTCAAGTGTACCTTAGGACGCATTACAAAGAACAAAATTCAGTGCAGGTGATGGAATTCTAACTGAGCTATCACAAATCCTAAATTATGATGCTGTTAAAATGTTGCACTCAATACGCCATCAAATTTGGAAAACTCAGAAGTAGTCACAGGATTGGAAAATATGAGTTTTCTAATTCCAAAGGAAGGCAATGCCAAAGAATGTTCGAACTGCAGTGCACTTGTGTTTATTTCACATACTGGTAAGGTCATGCTCAGAATCCTTCAAGCTAGGCTTCAGCAGAACATGAACTGAGAACTCCCAGGTACACAAGCTGGGTTTAGAAAAAGCAGAGGAATCAGAGACTGAATTGCTGATATTCACTGGTTCATTTAGAAAGCAAGGGAATTTCAGGAAAAAAATCCATTTTGTCTTCATTAACTATGTCAAAGCCCTTGACTGTATCACAACAAAATGTGGAACATTCTTCAAGAGATGGGAAAACCAGACCACCTTACCTGTCTCCTGAGAAATGTGGATGGAGGTCAAGAAGCAACAGTAAGAACCAGACAGGGAACCACAGACTGTTTCAAAATTGGAAAATGATACAGCAAGGCTGTATATTGTCACCTTGCTTACTTAACTTATATGCAGAAAGCATCATTTGAAATATTGGGCAAGATGAAGCACAAGCTGGAATCGAGTTTGCTGGGGAAAATATAAACAACCTAAAATACACAGATTATAGGTTTCTAATGCCAGAAAGTTGAGAGGAACTAAAGAACCTCTTGATGAGGATGAAAGAAGAGACAGAAAAGACTGGCTTAAATTCAACTTTCAGAAAAAGAAGACCATGTTACCCAGTCCTATTAGTTCATGGCAAGTAGATGGAGAAAAAGTGGCAACAGTGACAGGTTTCATTTTCTTGGGCTTCAAAATCACTGTGTATGCTGACTGCAGCCATGAAATTAAAAGATGTTTTATCCTTGGAAGAAAAGTTATGAGAAACCTTAATAGTGTATTAAAAAGTAGAGACATCACTTTAGGTTCAAATTGTCAGAGATACTGTTTTTTCAACAGTCGTGCACTGATGTAAGAGTTGGGCCATAAAGAAGGCTGAGCACCAAAGAATTGATACTTTCGTACTAGGAAGCTAAAGAAGACTCTTGAGAGTCCTTTGGACATCAAGGATCTCAAACCAGTCAATCCTAAAGGAAATAAACCCCAAGTATTCATTGGAAGGACTGATGCTAAAACTAAAACTCCAATACTTCGGTCACCTGATGTGAAGAAATGATGCATTTGGAAAGACCCTGATGCTGGGAAAGATCAAGGGCAGGAAGAGAAGTGGGTGACAGAGGATGAGATGGGTGGATGGTATCTCTGACTCAATGGACAGGAGTTTGTGCAAGCTCTGTGAGATAGTGAAGGACAGGGAATCCTGGTGTGCTGCACTCCCTGGAGCTGCAAAAAACTGAACAAGACTTAGTAACCAAACAACAACAAATGATGAAGTAGGGTCCCTCTTTGCTCATCTTCTGGAGGATTATTATCAAAACTGGATCTTGCATTTCATGGATAGTTCTCTGTATCTACTGAGTTGCTCGTATGTCTTTGACATTTCAATTTGTTAATACAGTGTAACACATTCTTTGATCTGCATATGTTGAAGAATCCTTGTATCCCTGGAATAAATGCTAATTGATCATAATGACCATGGGTCATCAACAATGACCCTTGTATTATGTTGTTGGATTCTCTTTGCTAGATTTTGTTGAAAATTTTTACATCTATATTTATCAATCATATTGATATAATTTCCTATTTTGTGATCTTTGTCTGGTTTTGATATCAGGGTGATGGTGGCCTTGTAGAAGAAATATGAAAATATCCTTCTCTCCATAACTGGAAAAGTTTTAGAAAAATAGGTATTAGTTCTTCTCTGAAAATTTGATAAGAGTTTTCTAATGAAGCCCTCTCGACCTGAGCTTTTGTGCTTCGTAAGATTTTCACTTAGAGATAAATCATCATTTCTCATGAATCTGTTTTTCCTTTTTAAAATTTTTCTTCAGTCATGTACTTTTCTTTGATCTGTCCATTTCCTCTATGTTGTCTATTGTATCGTTATATGGTTACTTGTAATAGCTTTCTATGATTATCTGTATTTATACACTGTCAGTTGTGATTTCTACTTTTATAATTTGAATTTTATTAATTTGAAATCTCTACCACTTTCTCTTGATGAGTCTGGCTAAAGGATTACCAAATTTGTTCATCTCCTCAAAGAACCAATTTTTACTTTTGTTGATGTTTTCTATCCCGTCCCTCATTTCTTGCTCATTTATCTCTGCTCTCTTTCCTATGATTTCTTTTCTTCTACTGACCTTGGGTTTCCTTGTTCTTTCTGTAGCTGCTTCAGGTGTAGTTTGTATTGTTCACTTCACATTTCACTTGTTCCCTATAGTGAGACTGAATTGCTGTAAACTTTCCTCTTAGCACTGTCTTTGCTGTTTCCCATCATACGTTTAGGTCATCTACTAGAACTAAAATTAACCAGATATAACAATCATCAAAACTAAAATTAAAAATACTTTGGAAGGAATCAATAGCGGAATAACTGAGGTAGAAGAATGGATAAATGAACTGGAATAGTGTGATGGAAATAACCAAAGCAAATCAGAGTAAATTTCCCACCCCTATAAAAACTGACAACCCCAAATCCTGGTGCTTCTCTTGCCTTCTGAGATGGCCACACTCTAAGGAGTCATGTTTCCTCCCTGAATAAACCTTATCTATCTTTAAAAAAAGAAAAGAAAAAGAATAAAAACAAATGAGGACAATCTCAAACCTGGCACAATATTAAGCATACCAACATTCAAACTGTAGTGGTACCAGAAGAAGATGAGAAAAAGAAAATACGTAAGAAAATACTCGAGACAGTTATAGTCAAAAACTTCCCAAATATGGGAAAGGAAATACTCATCTAAGTCCAGGAAGCCCAGGCAGCCCCATACAGGATAAACCCAAGGAGAAACATTCCAAGACACATATTAATCAAGCTAGCAAAACTTCAACATAAAAAACAAATATTAAGAGTAGCAAGAGAAAATAGAAGTGGATAACATAGAAGTGGATCCCCATAAGGATAACAGCTTATCTTTCAAGTCACAAACTCCGTAGGCCAGAAGGGAAAGACAGGCCATAAAGTGATGAAAAGGAAAAATCTACTACCAAGATTACCCTACTCAGCAAGGATTTCATTCAGATTACAAGGAGAAATTAAAGCTTTTCAGACAAGCAAGAGCTGAGAGAATTCACCACCAGCAAACAAGCTCTTCAACAAATGCTAAAGGATCTTCTCTATCAGGAAACACAGAGAAAGAAAAGACTTACAAAAATAAACCCACAACCATGAAGAAACTGGCAATAAGTTCACATACGCCTATAATTACTTTAAATTTAAATGGATTAAATGCTCCTACCAAAAGACATGACTGGCTGAGTGGATAGAAAACAAAACATATATATGTAAGTCTCTCTCTCCAAGAGAGCCACCTCAGACAAAGGGATACATTCAGTCTGAAAAGAGACTCCATGCAAATGGAAATCCAAAGAAAGCAGGAGTAGAAATACTCTCATTACACAAAACCGAGTTGAAAATATAAACCATTAAAAGAGATATGGAAAGACACTACATAATGATCAAGGGAGAAGTTTAACAGATGATATAGCAATTATAAACATTTATGTATAGTTCAGTCACTCAGTCATGTCTGACTCTTTGCAAACCCATGGACTGAAGCACGCCGGACCTCCCTGTCCATCACCAGCTCCTGGAGTTTACTCACACTCATGTCGATTGAGTCGGTGATGCCACCCTACCATCTCATCCTCTCTCGTCCCCTTTTCCTCCTGCCCCCAATCTTGAAGCATCAAGTTTCAGCTTCAAGCATCAACTCTTTGGCACTCAGCTTCAACTCTCACATCCATACATGCATACATACTACTGGAAAAACCATAGCCTTGACTAGATGGACCTTTGTGGACAAAGTAATGTCTCTGCTTTTTATTATGCACAGCAGAATGCCATTTCATTAAGCAAATGCTAACAACCATAAAAGGGGAAATCAACAGTAACACAATAATTGTGAAATTTCAATTCTCCATTTATACCAACAGACAGTTCTTCCACAGAGAAAATCAATAAGGAAACAAGCTTTAAATGAAACAATAAACCACAGAGATTTAATTGCTATCTATAGGACATTTCTCCAACAGCAAGAGAATACACTTTCTTCTCAACTGCACTTGGAACATTCTCTGGGATAGCTCATACCTTGGGTCACAAACCAACCTCAAGAAATATAAGAAAATTTAAAGCATATCAAGTGTCACTTCTGAACACAATGCTACACAGGAAAAACCCTGTTTAAAAAAACACATAGAAACAAATATTGACTGTTTCTTTTGTAAGGCACAAACTTTTTAGTTTAATGTATTTCCTTGGATTAAGTTTTGCTTCTGCTGATTGTGCCTTTGGTATCACATTTTTAATAAACCAAGGGAGTGTTTTCCTTTGTGTCCAACTATAAATTTTATTGTCCCAGTTCTCATAGGCTTATTTAAATCTATAATTAATTTCAAGTTAATATTCTGAGTACTGTAATATAGCGGTCAAATTTCAATTTTCTGCATGTGGTTATCAGTTTTTCCAAGGTCATTTACTGGAGGTAGTCTTTCTCTGTTAAATATTTTGGTTTCCTTGACAAATATGAGCTGGGAGTTTTATTTCAGAGCTGATAATTCTGCTCAGAAATTTTTATTCTGTTTCACTGATTCAGGGTATGTTTTTATGCCAGTACCACGCTGTAAAGATTTCTGTAGCCCTCTGGTAGTTTGAAATTGGCAAGTATGATGCCTCTAGCTTTGACGTTCTTTGTCAGTATTGCTATGGCTAGTGTTTCTGTACTGTTAAACAAGTTAAGTTTATCTATTTATTTATGTTTAATAAATTGTAATACATTCTTATTTATTTATTTTTGACTCTGCCAAGTCTCAACTGCTGATCAGGCTTCCTCTAGTTGCAGTGAGCAAGAGCTGGCTTTTGCTGAGGTGCTTTGGCTGCTCATTGCCATTGCGCCTCTTGTTAAGGCTCCTGGGAGTTAGCATGCAGGCTTAGTATCCGTGGTATCAGTGTTGCTCTAGGGCATGCAGGATCATCACAGATCATGGATAGAACCCATGTCTCCTGCAATAGCTGGCAGATTTCTAAGTACTAAACAATCTGGGAAGTCAAACTTTAGAAATGCTTTTCCTATTTCTATTATAAAAGTCACTGGAAAATTGACAAGGCTTGCAATCCATCAAAAATGATTTTGGATAGTATGGAAAATTCTATTAATTGTTTTGATTTAAGAGCATGGGACATCTTTTCTTATCAAGAACATATATTACCAACGGGGCTACCATTTATTTATTCATTGCAGGAATTATAGTTGACATGTAATATATTTCAAACAATCATTATCGGATTACAGCCACACTGCAATGTTGCTTTAGTTTCTGCTGTACCTATCTCAAAGCGAATCAATTTTAGATGTACATATATCCCGTCATTTTTCGATTTCCTTCACATTTAGGTCACCACAGAGCAGAGTCGAGTCCCCTTGTTCTTTTCCTTTTTTCAAAACTTAATTTGTTTTAAAAATTTAACTGGGGGTTAATTACTACACAATATCGTGATGGTTTCTGCCATGCATCAACATTAATAAGCCATAAGTATACAGGGGTCCCACCCGGCCTGGAGCCACTCCCACACTCCTTCCTACATTGCCCTTCTGGGTTGTTCCAGAGCCCTTGCTTTGCATGCCCTGCTTCGTGCAGACGAAAATCTGAGAAATGGTTTTTCTGCATGAAATATGTCATTTTCTCTATTTCAAAGGTGAGAATATGGGTGCAGATATTCCTCCGTGAAATAGGAAATCTGTATTTCATGTATGAAAACCTACTTGTATAATTCTCTTCATATTTGGAATCTTGTCTGTTTCATATATGGATAACTGTGCACAGCTCTTCCTACATAAATGGGGAATTCTGTGTATTTCAGATACGAAAAGTTGAGCATAGGCCTTCCTGCTTGAATTGTGAGATTGTATACCTTGCCTATATTAAAATCTCAGTGGAATTTTACTGACATGAAGTATGTAATTAAGACATGGGGAACCAACATGGTATTGGAATTCTATTTCAAAAATGAAATTTTCGGCACCACTGTTTATTTGTGAAATACTTAATTCTTTGCATTTCTCATATATAGAACAATGACTATCCGCATGTAATACAGAGTTCTCTTTATTGCCAATATCAAATTCGAGGCATTCATCCTGGTTCATGAAATTTGGACTTCTCTATATTTCACATCTGAAGATCAGAATGAATATTTCCCTGTGAGAAATAAGGAAGTCTAAACATTTGATGTGAACCACTGGTTCCACAGTCTCTGAAACAGCTGTTTGCATCTGTGTCCCTGTGCATTGCACGTGTGTATGTATGTGTGTGCTTCAGTCACCTATTTGTAAGTGTGTGTCTGTGTCTGTGATTGTGTGTGTGTGATTGTGTGTGTGTGAGTGTGTGTCTGGCCTAAGGTAAGTGCTCAGTGTGAAACACCAGAATTCTTAGCAGACAGAGTCTGAGCGTGGCATCTGTCTAGGCAATTAACCTGAGTGTGCCCACCTTAGCTGTGTGGCCGGGAGGCGAGAGTAACTAATGGTCAGGAGGAGCACGTTGCTCCACTTGAAACACTTACCGGAGGAGCTCTGTTCCTCTGGGAGGGGCATCCGCGGGTGCACATCCTTAGCCACCCAGGGGCCTGCTCTAAGCTGCGGGCCGCGGGAAAGGCCAAGAGCTGAAAGACTGTAGGCCATGGACTCCAGGGTGGTTTGGCTTGGGCCTGCGTTGGGGGGCCTGGACAGCGAGCTGAGGAAAGTGCCCTGCTTCTTCATCAGAGGATGGCTGCACTCCTGACACACCTCAAGCCTAAGGCACAAGTTGAGGGATGCACTCTGCAGCGGGAGGACGTCGGTGAGGGTTGGCATAAGCCCCGCCCACTTCCCCGCGCCACCGCTATCCCCGGCCGCCCCACGCCCTGCCCAGGGCTTGCAGCTTGGATCCGAGATGAGCCCCTCTGTCCCTGAGGTACCCGGGAACCCTATCTCACCTGTGTGGATCCCTGAGTACACGGACTCGCCCGCTGCCCCAGAGGCAATGTCGAGCTTGAGGATGGTTGCAGCGTGAGGTTCAGGTTCTTTGCCTTCGCCTCCAACTGGCCTGGCTTCCCGGTCACTGGTCAGGCACGTCTGCACTGTTGGTCAGGCAAACAGCTTGCGTGGACCGCCGCACTCTGCGCAGGGCCGAGTTTGGCCGCTGGGTCGCCTGCGGCCAGAGTGCCCAGAATTCCAAGGGGCGTGTCCCGGTGTCTGGAGGTCAGGGTGTGGAGTTCAGCCCCTTCCGGCCACCATCCTACGCGTGCGTGGGGACGCAGAGTTCTGCGCATGCGTGTCTCCCCTTCCCTGCTCATTGGCTGTGGGCAAGGAAGCTGTGGGTAGTGCCACGTAGACTGCGGTCGGTGGGCGGGCTGTGCCGGCCGCCAGCTGTGCTTTTGCGGCCAGCTTCCTCGCCCCTCGGGGCTAGGGCCAGAACACCATGGAGAGTGAGACGGGGCCAGGGGAAGGCATCATCACCCCGGGATCCTGGATCTTAGTTGTGAGCCCGGGTCTTCACGAGGGAGGGGCCCTGGGGCCTAGCAGCCCGGTGGGGGCGGCAGAGGCGATGCAGGCCCCAGGTGGTGTGCCAGGCGAGGAGGCCACCCTCTACAGGGTGGAGGCAGTGGAGGAAGGTGCTGCCCTGGAAGGGGGAGAGGTATCGGGAATTGGGCAGGATGTGCAGCTGCTGGTGTTAGACGTTATGGAGGAGGTGGAGGTGGTGGTGTACGAGGAGCAGCAGCAGGTGTCCTCGGAGGAGCAGGGCCAAGAACTTGCAAGGCCCGGAACTCCGAGTGACCGGCCAGCACTGGAGGCCCTGGCGGCCCTGCAGCTGGAGCTGGAGCCCGTGAATAAGCAAGCCCAAAGGGCGCATGCTCGCCTGAAACATAAGAACTGTCAGAGGCAGACGCTCCATCTAGAACACAGAAGCGCCATCATCCAGGGAATCCGTGGTTTCTGGGTCGAAGTTGTATCCTTTGGAGTGATGCTTGTGAATTTTTTTTTTTTTTTTTTTTTTTTTTGGTAACCTGTGCTCTTGCAGGAGCAGTTTACAGATCGGAGAGTTCTGGTACAAATTTTTTTTTTTTTTTTTGGATGATGGGTATAGCTTACCATCCTGCATATCTGTTCCTGATATTAGGAACAGATGTTCCTAATATGTGTGATGTGTGATGTCCTTCCTGTTCTGGCTAGCACAAATCGGTACTTAGACTTTTCTTGCAGAGGTCCCAGTCAGAATTGTCGTTAGCACCAGGGACTCTTCAGAGAAAAGGCTTCTCTGGAATCCAGGTCTTCTTTGAAAAGCTGAGTGTATTTGGGGGGAGGTTGGCATGTGTACGTGCTCCTACTGGTTGTAGCTAGGAGTGTGTGTTTTCCAGAAGTAAGCTAACTTTCAGGAGGCTGAGATGGAGCTTGGGGCCTTCCTGTTAGGAAGAGAACCTCCTTCTGGTAGTGCATTCCCAGGCACAGCCTTGTCTGGCATTCAGACAGCCTTCATCAACAGAAATGTGACGAGTTAATTAGGAGCAAGTTGAAGTCAGACAGTGCCATTCTACTCTTTAGGCTAGCTTTGTTCTTCCAGCACTTTTACCTTGAGCATCTAGAGGCTCCTTGACCTAAAGCAGTTTATGAGCCACCCCCAAATGTCACGTATGATGACCAGCCAAGACCGAGACATGCTTCACTTCATGACCAACTTGAAGGTCAGGCAGGGGACACTGATCATTGTGCAGAGGAGGTGACGGGAGGGGAGGGGAGAGGATGTGGTTTATCCCTGATGACAGGAAAAGGCAGCTCTTCTGTAAAGAGGTTTCACACCCACCCCACCACCACACCCCCCAACACTTTGTCCTGGCAGGTGGAGGAACTCCGGCATCCCACTCATCACTGCACAATCACGTTGTCCTTTCGGAGGAATAGGTATCTCCAAAATGAAGTGGTTGTTAAGGAGTATCTCGTTTACATCACTGGTAAGAGGCAGCTCCCTGGATTTGGGGGGTGGGGGCAGAAAAGTGGAGGTTGAATTGGGAAGTGACTTAGGTCTTTCTCCCATAATCCTTTTCCTGCAGGATACCGAGCATCCCATTCCACTCCCATTCAGTGGCACCAGGGGTTTGAACGTAAGGCATACAGACGCAGGCACCATGACAGCAGCGTTAACTTCTTTAACTGGCTCTCTGACCACAACTTCGCAGGATCTGACCAGATTGCTGAGGTAGGGTCCCACGTGGGCACTGGACCAGAATTGGTGATTCTATGTGGGAGTTCTTGGCGGTGCACGGGAGGGCTGAGGACCTGGCCGGCCCTGTGCTGACCTTGCTCATTTCCCTGGCAGATCATCATAAAGGAGCTGTGGCCCAATCCTTTGCAGTACTATGTGAGGAAGGAGGCTCCACCACAAGAGGAACTGGGAGGACGAGAGGTGAGGAGCCCAGGGGAGATTTTGAGAAGCTTAATGATGGAGTGTCCCCTTTTACCTAAACTAGAATACCTAAGAAGCTGCTTCACGTGCAGATCAATGGCCACCATAAGGCTCTTGGACGGGAGAGTACTGAAGAGTGGCCTGGATCGAGTGGAACAGATCGAGAGGGAGACACAAGTAAACCTGAAATAATTCCGATGGATAAATAAAGAGCATCAACTAACTGTATGTGTCTGCGTATTGTTTGGGCAGGTCCTTAGGACAAACATCTCAGCTCCATGTAGGATTCTCAGTTTACCGCGTGGGAATTACCAGTCCATGGAGAGCCCCAGAGGGGGTTAAGTCCTGTGTTGGGGTTGTGTCAGGGGACACAGTTCTTCCTGTGGGGTGGGGGTTTGGGAGGGTGGAGACAGAAGATTGAGGGGCCATTAACTGTGGGTCTGGCAGTTTGACAAAGGATATGTAGATGTTCGTGGAAAGGGTCTGGTGAACAAGGGCCAGAGATCGAAACTGTGGAACGGAGTTTTGTTGGAAGGTGGTGCCCCAGGTATCTTCTCTGTTGCATAGCCTCAGACGTTTTAAGAGTACAGAACAAGGAAAGAGACTTAGCATTCAACTCACTGTGAACCAGGTAGCCTCCTTGTGTATACGAGTGCATGGTCAGCTTTGCTGAGAGTTAGCTTCCCAGAGCTAGGGTTCCAGGTAACATCTTAGTGGGTGGGGGTCTAAGGTATATACATGACTAATTATTAGAAAAATGCAAATCACAACTGCCATGAGATGTCAACCTCACACCAGTCAGAATGGCCATGATCCAAAAATCTCAAACCATAAATGCTGGAAACAGTGTGCAGAGAAGGGAACTCTCCTGCACTGTTGCTGGGAATGTAAATTGGTACAGCTACTAAGGAGAACTATATGGATGTTCCTTAAAAACTAAAAGTATAGTTACCGTGCGGCCCAGCAATCCTACTGCTAAGCATGTATCTGCGAAAACCGTAATTCAAAGGAATACATGCACCCCAGTGTTCACCGTAGCACTATTAACAATAGACAAGACAGAGACGAAACCTAAAATGTCCATTGACAGAGGAATGGATACAGAAGAGGTACATATATACAACGGAGTACTGTCACCCATTAAAAGGCATCAAACAGTCATTTGCAGAGATGTGGGTGAACCTGCTGCTGCTGCTGCTGCTTCTGCTGCTACGTGACTTCAGTCGTGTCTGACTCTGTGACGGCACAGACAGCAGCCCACCAGGCATCCACGGCCCTGGGATTCTCCAGGCAAGAACACGAGTGGGTTGCTGTTTCCTTCTCCAAGGCGTGAAATTGAAAAGTGAAAGTGAAGTCGCTCAGTCGTGTCTGACGCTTGGAGACCCCGTGGGCTGCAGCCTACCAGGCTCCTCCACCCATGGGATTTTCCAGGCAAGAGTCCTGGAGTGGGTTGCCATTGCCTTCTCCGTGGGTGAACCTAGATAGTGTCAAACAGAGTGAAGTGAGACAGAAGAAGAAAACATACTGTCCAACATGGCTTATATATGGAATCCAAAATGATGGCAGAGATGAACTGACTGGGAAAGCAGAAACAGAGTCACAGATGTAGCAAACAAACTTACAGCTACCAGTGGAGGGGGTCGGGGGTGGGGAGACTCAAACTGGGAGACTGGGATTGCCATATGTACATAGTGCACATAGACACTACTATGTGTACAACAGACAACCCATGAGAACCTACAGTTCAGCACAGGGAACCCTAATCAATGCTCTGTGGTGACCTAAATGGGGACATACCTGCTGAGCCCTTCCACATCACAGGAGGGACAGGACGGGATGGGAGGCCAAGCCAGGTCTCAGATCTGGCAGACACCGCTCTGGGCGTGTTCTTTCCCTGTAGCTTGATGACATCATAGATGTACCATCATGTGATTATTCATAGCCTGTGAGCCTCCTAAACAAGGACGTCAGCTCCATGGATGCAGAGGCCTTGTTCCCACCTGAGTTCCCGAATCAATCACACTGCCTAACATACAGGGACCAAGTAACTAATGAGTCACTGAGCTCTGAAGGAGCACATCTTGCCATAGCAACAAAGGAAATAGTTGTCATTGCACAAAGGTACCACCAGATGGCGGTGTTTCTCAAAACAAAGCCCATTCCCCCTTTTTCCAAGTTAAGGACTTTGAGCCTATCAGCACAGCTGAGAAGGGTTTTGCAGTTGCCCTTCCAGCCGTGGACACCCAAATCACATCATGCAAGTCAAGCCTGCTGGAGCCAGACTAAACTGCACACAGTCCCCTTGCATCCTTCTTCCCCATCTCCAACCGACCCAGGCGCATAAGGAAATGCTTTTCTGGACAATCTCAACCCGTTTCTTCTCTGAACTTCACTGCCCACTTCCCTGACCATCCATCCTCCTCCCCTTCTACCAAAAATTTGTTTCTGTAACGCATTTCTGGCCTGTCACCTGAAATTCTTTAGTGGTTCCTGTCTCCTATTGATGTGGTTTCACAAAAGGTCTTCTGTGATAGTGAAGCAGAGACACCCAAGTCCAGTGGTTGAAAATCCAAGTGTTCTTGCAATGTATCTACACTTACCCCCTTGCTTCCTCCTCCTATTTGCTGTCTCAGCACACTTTGACTTTGGGTCTTTCCTGGTGGCTCAGATGCTAAAGCATCCACCTGCAATGCAGGAGACCTGGGTTCCATCCCTAGGTTGAGAAGGTCCCCCGGAGGAGGGCACTGCAACCCATTCCAATATTCTTGCCTGGAGAATCCCATGGACAGAGGGAGCCTGGTGGACTACAGTCTATGGAGTCACACGGAGTCAGACAGGACTGAGCAACTAACACTTTCACTTTACTTGAAATGCAGGGGCCCCCACAGAAGTGGGGAGCTGTCATTGCTGTCCCAGCCTCCTCACCTCCCATCTTCTGGTAACACCCCTTTGGCTTGCTTCTGAAGAACCACCCTCTCCACACTCAGTCCACATACTTTGGACGAACCTGACCTCACATTCTTGTTCCAAGGATTGAGAATGTGACCCAGACATGACCAACTGACATATTCCTTCACCCTAGGGCCGAGATTTAGTGAGTCATGAATGAGCATGCATCCCAAACTGGGCCTCTGAGAACCATCCCAAGGGGTTTGACTGGAATAACTAGGAAAATGACCTGCCATTCCACTGGGACACCAATTTGGAGTTACTGAGTAATATTTTTGTCAACACTCAGGTGACAGCGTGCCTGAGATGCAAGCTAACACAAGTAGAGCTAAAAGGTGGGGAGTTCTGCTGACATCCTTGGAGTCCCTGGATCCAGCTGTGTGTGAAGCCAGAACCCATGAATTGTTTTCCGTACCCATACTTTCCTTTCTTCAGTTAAGTAATACGAGTCTATGAACAATGCTAGTGCAGACAATGGAACTCCAGTAGAGCTAATTCAAATTCTAAAAGGTGATGCTGTGAAAGTGCTGCACTCAATATGCCAGCAAATTGGGAAAACTCAGCAGTGGCCACAGTGCTGGAAAAGGTCAGTTTTCATTCCAATCCCAAAGAAAGGTAATCCCAGAGAATGCTCAAATGACCACACAGTTGGACTCATCTCACATGCTAGTAAAGTAATGCTCAAAATTCTCCAAGCCAGACTTCAGAAATATGTGAACCATGAAATTCCACATGTTCAAGCTGATTTTAGAAAAGGCAGAGGAACCAGAGATCAAATTGCCAACATCCAATGGATCATCAAAAAAAGCAGAGAGTTCCAGAAAGACATCTATTTCTGCTTTATTTACTATGCCAGAGGCTTTGACACTGTGGATCACAATAAACTGTGGAAAATTCTGAAAGAGACGGGAACACAAGACCACCTGACTCACCTCTTGAGGAACCTGTATGCAGGTCAGGAAGCAGCAGTTAGAACTGGCCACGGAACAAGAGATTGGTTCCAAATAGGAAAAGGAGTAGGTCAAGGCTGTATATTGTCACCCTGCTTATCTAACTTATATGCAGAGTGCATCGTGAGAAATGCTGGGCTGGATGAAGCACACGGTGGGACCAAGATTGCTGGGAGAAATGTCAATAACCTCAGATATGCAGATGACACCACCCTTTGTGGCAGAGAGTGAAGGAGAACTAAAGAGCCTCTCGATGAAAGTGAAAGAAGAAAAAGAAATAGTTGTCTTACAGGTCAACATTCAGAAAACTAAGATCATCGCATCCAGTCCCAAGGCCGCTGCTTAGCGAAGTCACTTCAGTCGTATTGGACTCTGTGCAACCCCATAGACAGCAGCCCACCAGGCTCCCCCGTCCCTGGGGTTCTCCAGGCAAGAACACTGGAGTGGGTTGCCAGTTCCTCCTCCAGTGCGTGGAAGTGAAAAGTGAAAATGAAGTTGCTCAGTCGTGTCCGACTCTTAGTGACCCCATGGACCCCATGGACCACAGACTACCAGGCTCCTCCATCCATGGGATTTTCCAGGCAAGCGTACTGGAGTGGGGTGCCATTGCCTTCTCTGCCAGTCCCATTACTTCTTGGCAAATAGATGGGGAAACTGTGGCTGACTTCATTTTGGGGGGTCCTCCAAAATCAATGCAGATGGTGATTGCAGCCATGAAATTAAAAGACGCTTACTCCTTGGAAGGAAAGTTATGACCCACATAGACAGCATATTAAAAAGCTGAGACATCACTTTGTCCACAAAGGTCCGTCTAGTCAAGGCTATGGTCTTTCCAGTAGGCATATATGGATGTGAGAGTTGGACTATAACGAAAGCTGAGTACTGAAGAATTGATGCTTTTGATATGTGGTGTTGGAGAAGAGTCTTGAGAGTCCCTTGGACCTAATGGACATCCAACCAGTCCATCCTAATGGAGATCAGTTCTGGGTGTTCACTGGAAGGAGTGATGTTGAAGCTGCAACTCCAATCCTTTGGCCACCTGATGTGAAGAGCTGACTCATGTGAAAAGACCCTGACGCTGGGAAAGATTGAGGGCAGGAGGAGAAAGGGCCAACAGGGGATGAGACGGTTAGATGGCATCACCGACTCGATGGACATGGGTTTGAGTGGACTCCGGGAGTTGGTGATGGACAGGGAGGCCTGGCGTACAGCGTTTCATGGGGTGACAAAGAGTTGGACGTGACTGAGCGACTGCAGTGAGCTGAACTGTGTCAGTACGGACTCGCGGGTACTTACTTTACACTTAGGGCTGTGTGTTTCCTTAGTTGCTCAGTCATGTCTGGCTCTTTGTGACTCCATGGACAGTGGCCTGCCAGGATCTTCTCTCCATGGAACTTTTGAGGCAAGAATACTGGAGTGGGTTGCCATTTCCTACCCCAGGGGCTCTTTCTAACCAAGGGATCGAACCTGCATCTCTTGCGTCTCCCTGTATCAGCAGGCAGATTCTTTACCACTGTGCCACCAGGAAGCCCATACTTAGGGTTAGATGCTATGCTATTTTAATACTCATATTGTTCCAGCTCTAACCATTGGGAACTCTTCTGGTCAACTCTTGTATCCCTGTGACTTACCACATCATCATGGGGTTTTGTGAGTATGTCCTTAGTTTGGGGGACTGTAAGATGTTTCATGTTATGTGTCTTCCCTGCCCCAGCCCTAGAAACAGTCACTTATCCAAGGAGCCCTGGTTCTTTGCACCAGAAAATGGTGTTGAAAAGTCAAGATCTGGGTGCTAGGTATGCTAGTTGCTACAGGAGTGTCATTGCTTCTGGACCCTCTTGGACTTTTGCTTCTGGGCCTTCAAGGTCTCCAGGATCTTAACATCATGATATACGGTTATTGCATCCACTTGTAGATGTGTAGTGTGGCATGTGGCTGGCCTAATAAAGGCTGTCAGTTATAGTCCAGACCCCTTTCTTCACCAGCATGGAAACTGAAGTTCAGGCAGGATCAGTGGAACCTACATAAAGAGTCAGAGGGCCTGGGAAAAGGTGTTACGGGATTGCAGGAGTGCCTCACCTTTCATCATCAGTGACAGCGATGTATCCTTTTGTCTTGTGGTCAGAGTTCAGAGTTAATTTCAGGGTGACGTCAATCTCCTCAAATGCATGGGAGAGCATCCCCTTTGTTTCTCTGCTCTGCAATTTGTGGAGGATGGGATTTACTGATCCTTTCCTTGACTGTATGGTGGAACTCCTATTTAAAACTATCTGGACTTGGTGCCTTTTGAGAAATGTATGTCTTTATCCACAAGTTCAGTTTCTCATCATCATTGGTTTATTATATTTTTAAAAGAATTGCCCCTTGGGTTAATTTTGATAATTTGTACCTTCCTGAAAAGTGTCAACTTCATCCAGGTTTTCAAGTTCACTGGGATAATATTGCTCTTGGCGTTCTCCTAATTGGGCCTTTCCTGTTGGCTCAGATGGTAAAGAATCTGCAGGCAATGCAGGAGACCAGGGTTTCATCACAGGGTCTGGAAGATCCCCTGGAGAAGAGAATGGCTATCCACTCCAGTATTCTTCCCTGGACAATTCCATGTACACAGGAATCTGATAGCTACAGTCCATGGGGTTGCAAAGGGTTGGACATAACACAGCGACAAACACTTTTTCTTTATCTTTGCTATTCTCATAAAAACAAAACAAAAAAAGAGAATAAGAAAGAAAATAAACCAAGAGAAACTTCCCTGGTATTCCAGTGGCTAAGACGTCACACTTCGAATGCAGGGGGCCTTGGTTCGATCCCTGGTCGGGGAAATAGATTCCATATGCCAAAGCTAAGAGTCGAATCCCACAACTAAAGATTCCTTGTGCTGCATGTAACACATGGTGTATTGAAGTCATTAAATACAATAAATGACTATTACAAAAAAAAAGAATCTCCTTTGAACCTATAATAGGGTGTGCTCTTTCACTCTGGATGTTGGTTACGGATCTCTTTGTCTCTCTCTCTCTCTTTTATCCCCCCTTGTTCATGCTTACGTGAGGCTTATCTACTTTTCAGTTACCAGTTCTTATGAATTTTCCTGGTTTCTCTAAAACAATCTACTTTGTTCAGTTACCAGTTCTTATGAATTATCCTGGTTTCTCTAAAATTAGTGCAATTTAACATTACCTGGATTAGACTCTGCCTGCATCCTACAGGTTTCGCTACTTTGTATCCTTGCTCATTTCTGAACAGTAAGCCTGCTGAAATTTACCCATCAAAATCCTTTCTGATAAAGCTGGTGACAGCTGGGCTCTTCCTGCCGACCTGCTCTGCTGTGGTCCAATCCCATTACTTTTTGTCCTTGGCTGCTGGGAGACACGAATGCAGAAAGGAAGCTGTTGACACACTGGCTTTAGACAAGTGACTCAGAGTGCAGACGTTCCCTCTGCTCACTCCTTCTCCTCTGAGGCAGGGGTATTCTAGTCGTGGCTTTGCTTAATCCTGCCTCTAGATTAGCTAGCGAGAGGCCTGCTTCCTGGGAGGTAAACCGGGGCCAGCTTTGTCGTGCTGTCTGCATGTTTAACTTCTCTGAAGAGCGTTAAAGAGGCTGTGGCCCATGTTGTGTGAATGACCAGTTAGGCAAGACGTCTTGGAGAGCAGCTCAGCGCTGACACACTGAAATATTATTCTCCCTGATAGCTTCTGCAGAACCATAAAGCAGATGCCATTCCTTGTGGGGAGAGAGGCATCCCACCAGGAGGCTGTCCACAGAGTAGAGCAAGGGGGTCTGGCAGAGTCAGCACGAGGGTTCCATTCCTACTACCCACCTAGGAAACCTCGATGTCCCCATCAGTACAATGGGCAGGGATCATCTCCTGGGCCAAATGAGGCAGACACAGAGCCATGGCTGGGCTGGAAAGGCATCTAAGGAGCCACCTAGGAGCTGTTGACCAGAGGGCTGAGGCGATGTCCTGCCTGGCACTGGGCATCCAGAGACAGGCTGGGGGAGGAGGAGCCCTGGGGATGCCAGGGTACAAGTTTCCAGAAGAGAAGAGGCTGTGAGATCAAGGGAGGGTCACAGGGTCTGGCGGCAAGGGGTCTGCGGTGACCCGAGGGGACAGAAGGAGCGAGGGCAGTGGAAGGAGGTGAGACAGAGTGTGGACAGCTCTCTTCTGAAGTTTGGCAGGGGAGGCAGGAGCAAGATGGCAGGAGCTGGGGACTGGACCGGGGCCACGTGAAGATTCTAACTGAATATGGAGATGGTGTTCCAGAGCTGCCAGAAGGCAGGCAGCAGAGAGACAGGGAGCAGGGGTCCACGGGGACAGTGGTTGAGTCCCCGGGGAGGCACAGAGGACCAGGTCAGCGGGGATGGGCAGCAGGAGGAGGGGAACTCAAGCTGGCAGACCGAGGGGCCGAGAGAGCTGGCAGCCCAGGCACGTGAAAGGATCCTGCAGAGGTACCACGTGAGGCCACGTGTCTGCCACTGATAGAGCAGGGCACGGACCACTGCAGGGAGGTTCCAGGAGGACGGTCAGCCATGGAGGACCTGGGAGCCAGGTTGGAGGTCAGGCCTGCTGTCCAGCTGCTCACACCCCCGTCCCCAAATCCCTTTCTATGACTGATGTGCAGCCTCTGTCCTGGGTACCAGCCCAGAAGCTTCAATCGAAAGAGATCCTTGCCCTTGTGGAATTTATACTTGGGGTGGGGGCAGGGGGCACACCATGGACACTCTATAAGGTTAATAGCCCCTAATTAGGTCAGACAGTTGCCAATAAGCCGGGCACCATCCCACATTTGGGGGTGTTCTTCCCGTGGGCCTTTGACCATGGGGTAACACCTCACCACTGCCGCATTCTGCCAACCAGCAACCATCTGTACACAACATGCACTGCCAAAATCCCTGAGGTCCCCCACGAGCCTCTGCACCTTCCCACCCTTCCCTTCAACAGGAGGGCGTGTGTTTTTCATTTTCAGGGGAATGGGGCAGAGCTCCATCAGTCAGAAGTTGTGTAAGGGCCTGTCATGGCTGGTCCAGGGGCCGTAGGCCACGTGGCACTCATTAACGACTGTCTGTTCAATGATTATCTGCCTGGGTTTATTGTGGTGAGCCAGTCCAAAGCATAACTGATCGTGGCCTTGACCCAAAGACCAGCCCCTGACGTCAGAGTCGAGCCTCTCTGGGTGTGGCTGAGGGGCGGGGCCTCTCTCCTTCTTGGAATTTAAAGGCCAGGAAGTTCTGCCTCCAAACCCCAAACAGGGCCTTCCCACTGGGAACGCACGCTCACCCGTGGGAAGGGCCTTGCAAGAGACCCTTGGGCCTCTGACCTGATCATCCAAAGAGAAGAAAGGTAGGCAGAGCCTGTTCACATACGTTTCTAACAAACTTCAGCACTAATAGGAACTGGTTTTCTTTTTCCTCCCAGCCACGACGGTGACCCCGACAAAGTGCGTGGAGTTGACGGCATCCTTGGTTGTCTTTGTTCATGAAACCTGTGCTTTTTCTATTGCAGGGAACCTCAGCATCCGTGGCCCCCCCCCCCCCGCCCAGCCCAGCTCTGCAGAGATGCCCCCTCAGCTCTCAGACGGCCTCAACTATTCAGCCAAAATCATCCGGGGCTCCCTGGACAGCCTGCCCCAGGCTGTGAGCGAGTTTGGGGAGAGCAGCGACAAGCTGTGCCGGCCTGACCAAGTCCACATCTGCGATGGCTCCAAGAGGAGAACCGGCAGCTGCTGAGCCACATGGAGGAGGAGGGTGTGATCAAGAGGCTGAAGAAGTATGACAACTGGTGAGCACAGCTCTGCCCCCCGGCATTCGGCCTTTCTCTCTACCCAGGGCGCAGGTGGAACGAGGAGAACATGGGCCTCAGCATAGCCGGGGTGCGGCTGTGTGGTTTGCAGGCTCTTGGAAAACTTAGTAAAAGAGCCAGAACCATGTAGACTTAATTTTATGACGTTTGCAGAGCAGCCCAAGTCATCAGTGCAGGGGCATGGGCAAACTCTGTTTGCAAACCAGGTGCCCAGTTGAAAGGAAGGTCTGACCATCCCTGTCCTAAGGCACTAACTTCTGGTCTAGTGAGTGTCCCTCTGACCACGTCCCAGTGGATATGGCTGTGTCCGCATCGATGGCGCATCCTTAGTGCCCTTGGTACCTGCCAGGTGTGGGAAGAACATGATGATGAGAAAACCGTCCCCTTCCTGAAAGGTCCATGGCTGAGGGAACCTAGGGAGCAGATGCCATGCAGAATACCAGCACTTCTCGAATCCCCACCTGTGTGTTTTCAATTTTTCTTTACTTATTTATTTTCAGCTGTGCTGGGTCTTCGTTGCTGCAAGGGCTTTTCTTTAGTTGCAGAGAGCGGGGGGCCACGTTCTAGTTGCAATGCCAGGGCTTCTCATTGTGGTGGCTTCTCGTGTTGTAGAGCACGGGCTCTAGAGTGTGGGGGCTTCAGTAGTTGCGGCTCCTGCACTCTTACACACAGGCTCAGGCTCAACAGTTGTGGTGAAAGGGCCTAGTTGCTCCATGGCAGGTGGGATCCTCCCAGATCAGAAATCGAACCTGTGTCCCTTGCGTTGCAAGGCAGATTCTTTACCACTGAGCCACTGGGGAAGCCCCTAACCTCTGTATTTTATTTCATTTTATTTTATATTTTTGTAGCCGGGTGGCTCTCACAGACCCCAGGGATGCGGCCAGAGTTGAAAGCAAGATGGTCATCATCACTCGAGAGCAAAGAGATATGGTGCCCATCCCCAAAACCGGCCTCAGCCAGCTGGGCTGCTGGATGTCCGAGGAGGATTTTGAGAAAGCGTTCGACGTCCGATTTCCAGGGCGCATGAAAGGTGAGTGAAACCTTTATTTGGCTGGGTGCCATATCAGCAAACCTTTTATTTTCACCTCTTTCCTACCAGTAATTGTCTCAGGAGCTCCCATTGCTCGGAGAGTCATAAGTTCCACCTAAGGACTGGCCACATGTTGAAAATGTATGTCTCAGTTCTGGTTTTATAGACTGCCTTCAACGACCAGGAAAACAATGTCTATGCTCGCGGATTTAAGATAGCTTGGTGGAACCCCGCTGCACATTTATGAAAACTTAACTTTGCTGCCATGGCCACCTTTTCCTTTGGTGTTGAGTCACTAAGTTGTGTCCTACTTTTTGTAACCCCATGGACTTCAGCATGCCAGGCTCCTGTCCTCCACTGTCTTCTGGGTTTTGCTCAGATTCTTGTCCACTGAGTTGGTGATGCCATCCAGCCATCTCATCCTCTGCCACCCCTCTCTACTTTTGCCCTCACTCTTTCCTGGCGTCTTTTTCAATGAGTCGGCTCTTCCCATCAGGTGGCCAAAGTATTAGAGCTTCAGCATCAGTCCTTCCAATGAGTATTCAGGGTTGCTTTCTTTAGGATTGACTGGAGTAATCTCCTTGTAGTCCACAGGACTCATCTAATCAAGGGGCTGGTGGCAAGCAACATGTGACGTTGTCGGAGGGGGATCATGAGAAGGGTCATGACTGGCGGTTGTCTGTGAGTCTGGGGTTGTTTTTCACCAGCTCCCACCTCCCGGCCCACAGGTCGCACCATGTACGTCATGCCGTTCAGCATGGGGCCCCTGGGCTCTCCTCTGTCCAAGATTGGCATCGAGCTGACAGACTCACCCTAAGTGGTGACCAGCGTGCGCATCATGATGATGATGAGCACTGCCGTCCTGGAAGCGCTGGGGGATGGCGAGTTCATCAAGTGCCTCCACTCCGTGGGGTGCACTTTGCCTTTAAAAAGTAAGCACATTATTCCAAAATCAAAAGCCAGAATTAAAAAAAGAAAAAGGTGACCCTTAAGCTCTATTGGGGACATGGCATACTCATGTGGGCGTGTCCTCCTGCGCGGAGCCTTTGGTTAACAACTGGGCCTGTAACCCCGAGCTCACACTCATCGCCCACCTGCCTGACCACCGAGAAATCATCTCCTTTGGGAGTGGGTAAGGCGGTAACTCGCTCCTTGGGAAGAAGTGCCTTGCCCTCAGGATGGCCAGCCGGCTGGCCAAGGAGGAGGGGTGGCTGGCAGAGCACATGCTGGTAAGATGCAGGGAATTCTAAATGTGTGCAGCCGAGGGTCCGGCAGAGGAGGGGAAGTGGCAGACCCCTACTGCATTAGCATTCCTATTAGGCATCAGCGTTTCAGTGCTCCAAGGACATTGGGAATTCCATCAGTAATGATGAATGGCTTCCAGGCCCCCTCCTAGACTAGGGCGTGGACCTCTAGGGTAGAAAGGAACCAAGCGCTTCAGGAGAAATCTTGTCTCCAACAGATTCTGGGCATCACCAACCCCAAGGGCCAGAAGAAGTACTTTGCGGCTGCGTTTCCCAGCACCTGTGCGAAGACCAACCTGGCCCTGATGAACCCTACCCAACCACGATGGAAAGTAGAGTCTGTGGGTGATGATATCACCTGGGTGAAATTTGACCAACAAGGTGACTCTTTTAGGCCCAGGTGTTGATGATAATCATTGGACCCTAGTGAACTTTTGGGTCTAAACATGCCAAATCCTCCCAAGTCCAGAGTGTCCAGATTTTTTAATTCAGTTAGTTCTTGCAAAAGTGCACACATATGTATTCCATCAGCTTTCTTTAATCTCATATCCAATCTGGATTGAAATGCGACCGTCTATCACTGTTTGTTTACATTTTGTCCAGTTGCTAAGTCATGTCCGAGTCTTTGCAACATGGACTGTAGCCCACGAGGCTCCTCTGTCCATGGGATTTCCCAGGCAAGGATACTGGAGTGGGTTGCCATTTCCTTCTCCAGAGGATCTTCCTGACCCAGGGATCGAACCCATATCTCCTGCATTGACAGGCAGATTCTTTACCACTGAGCTACCTAGGTTGGTTAAAATAGTTTGATGGGAAACTGGTGAGAAAGAGTCAAAGTTGATTAATAATGCTGGCATGAGACAAGAGGAAGAGATTCTGGGGAGAAGGGAAAAAGTAAAAGACTTGACAATTTGGTGCAGAAATTAACCTGGCAAGATATAAGATGATATGTTTTCTTTGATACTCACTTCCACTCCTTGATTTAAAACTTGTCAGGTAACTTGCAGGCCATCAACCCAGAGAATGGGTTTTTTGATGTCGCTCCGGGAACCTCTGTAAGGACAAACCCCAATGCCATCAAGACCATCCAGAAGAATACCATCTTCACCACTGTGGCCGAGACCAGTGACGGGGGTGTTTACTGGGAAGGCATTGACAAGCTCCTGGCCTCAGGCATCAAGCTCATTTCCTGGAAGGGCAAGGAGTGGGACCCCAAGGATGGTAAGCCCCCGAGGAGACCTGGCGCCCCAACCCTTGGGTGTGTGTGCTGGGCCAGATGCTCAGGGCCCGTCTTCCCTTGCTGCTGTAGGGGAGCCTTGCGCCCACCCCAACTCGCGGTTCTGCACTCCGGCCAGCCAGTGCCCCATCATTGACCCTGACTGGGAGTCTCCAGAGCGTGTGCCCATTGAGGGCATCATCTTTGGAGGGTGTCGGCTTGTTGCTGAGGCTCCCAGGCTCTTGGGCTGGGACACGGGTGTGTCAGTCTGGGGGGGTGTGTCACTACAAGGGCTCACGTTCCATGACCTGGTTGGAGGGTGTCAGGGGTACAGAGCTTCCTTTCACAAATGACAGGGTAATCAGCAAGCTCGGGCATAGAACTAAGTCTCTGGCCACTAGAACTCCTGGGTCCTCGTCCCAGGGATGTGGCTCCCAGTCTGACTTTGGCCACGAGGCCCCCTGCTGTGACTCTGATGTGGTAGGTCCACCCTTTGCTCTGGAGCTGCAGCGTCAGCCCCTTTAGAAGAGAGACAACCACACACAGCACATCTTTCCACTTGGGAGACAGCATTGCGGCTGAGGGGGCTGGGGGTCAAAGCCTCTAAGGAGCGTTTCTTTCTCCTGCTAAAGACGTCCCTCTGGTCTATGAGGCTCTCAGCTGGCAGCACGGCGTGTTTGTGGGGGCAGCCATGAGATCTGAGGCCACGGCAGCGGTGGAGTACAAGGGTTAGTCTGGCGAAGATCCGGGGCCGCCAAGAAGGGACAGTGACAGCTCTGTCCCCATGTTTCTCTGTCTCTCTATTTTTCTGTTGCTCTGCTTCTCTGTCTCTTTCTCTCTCTGCCTCTCTCTGTTTCTCTATCTCTGTGTCTCTCTGCTCTTTCTGTCTCTGTATCTCTGTGTCTCAGTTGCCCCTCTGTCTCTTTATCTCTCTGTCTCCCCGTGCCTCTCTCTGTATATGCAGAGAGGTACAGAAAGCCAGGCGGCCGTGTCAACAGTAAATGTGCCCGTAGTCCTGTGAGGCTTCACTTACCCACAGAGTACCCTGTTAACAGGCAAAATCATCACGCACGACCCATTTGCCATGCGCCCCTTCTTCGGCTACAACTTCGGCCAGTACCTGGCACACTGGCTCAGCATGGCCCAGCGCCCTGCAGCCAAGCTGCCCAAGATCTTCCATGTCAACTGGTTCCAAGAGGACAAGGCCGGCAGGTTCCTCTGGGCCGGCTTCGGCGAGAACTCCCGGGTGCTGGAGTGGATGTTCAACCGCGTGGATGGGGAAGGCGGCCCCCAGCTCACGCCCATCGGCTACATCCCTCATGAGGGTGCCCTGGACCTGCGTGGCCTGGGGGTTGTTGACGTGAAGGAGCTCTTCCACATGTCCAAGGAGTTCTGGGAGGAGGAGGTGGAAGAAATACAGAAGTACCTGGAGGAACAGGTGAATGCCGATCTCCCCCCCGAGATCAGGAATGAGGTCCTGGCCCTGAAGCAGAGAATCAGCCAGATGTAACCAGGTTCGCCTGACCGCCCGCCTGCAATCCATACAATGCACCAGGAACAGGAGACATGGTGCTTCCTGATTTCTCACCGCCTGCAGCACTGCAATGACCGCACCCAGGGGCTGATGGAAAGACACACCTTAATTTTTCAGATAAGACCATATAGCAGACAAGCTAGTCACTAATGAGGTTGTGGAGGGAAATAGCAGGCTCCAGGAAATAGCAAGATACATGCACCTTTGTTCAACTTAGGGACACTCAAGCAGACAGTCTTCTTTGTCTTTTCCCTTTAGCTGTATCAGTTAGCCAGAATGCACAGAAAAAGACACTTGAGCTGTATATATGTGTGTGTGCACATGCGTGTGTATCTGTGTACTGTTGTCTAAAATGTATTTAATGACTTTGGAAAAATCTTGGGCAAGATTACCTACTAGTTGTTGCCAGAATGCGATGTTGCTTTCCTGTTAATATGTGTGTGTTTAAATTATTTTTATATACCACGATTCCGTACCTTTACATAATTTGAACATTTTCCCGTAACACTTCTTGGAAAAAAAAAATCACAAAATAAACTTTTATAGAAAAGATGAATTTGCCTGCCTGGTTTTTCTTACCTGAACAGCCAAGAAGAGGGGACTCTGATGAAACCTTCTGTGGTAGAATCCCCTTCAAAGAACGTGGGGCTACCCTGGTGGAGGGGGGTGAGCAGGGGAATGGAGGGAGCCAGATGGGGAGGTGTGAGCAGAGAGACTGTCATCCGGAGGTGACACGGCACGATGCTTTGGGTTTTCTGAATTAACTTGAAGCCGTCGATCAGTGCCCTTGAATATCCACACACCTTTAAATTGTGGGTCTTGGGTAAGTGGAACAGGAGAGTTTGTTGTTTTTCTTTAATCCAAGTATTGGCATAAAAATGACTGAGCGTGGGGAGACACCCAGACATGTCCTGTATGATTGAAATGTCAAGAACAAACAAACAGATGTGTCAGCGCTCAGTCGTGTCCGACTCTTTGTGACCTCATGGACTGTAGCTGACCAGGCTCCTCTGTCCATGGGATTTTCCAGGCAAGAGTAGTGGAGTGGGTTGCCATTTCCTTCTCCAAACAGGAGAGTTTAAAGCATGCTTTTTGAGAAAACCTTGGGTCTGGGGGCTCGGTCTTTCACAAGAATTATATCATGGCCAATTTCACAGACTTTTGTCAATAAATTCTCTTTTGAGCAACTCTTTTCTTCACTGTCATCCACTAGGGAGGAGAGTAGAGACAGAAACATGTTTCAGAAGAGAACAGCAAAAGGCATTGATGGAGCGCCTTCTGTATTCAGGGCATCATGCCTTTGATGGGCTCAAGGTCGGCTGCCTTGTACCCTCCTCTGGTCCCTCTGTCCTCGGTGTTTGCTGGGGACCCCAGGCAGTTTGAACAGATCGCACGCTGGACTGGGCACATGCATTCAATAGATGCACAGGGCTTTCTCTAGCTGCTGGTCTCCCTTCTGGGCCAGCTCTCCTGCTCAGCACACACCAGGAAGTCAGTTCTCCTCAGCTCTGCTCGCTTCCACAGCTTATAGGCTCACCGTCCCCTTAAAGTCCTGTGCTTCTTCTGGGATCCATGTGGATGGGCAAGCTGAGATCCACCCAATGTTATAGGTGGGGAAACCGAGGCCAGGTGGGTCCTTCAGGGCTGCCAAAGAGTAGCCAGAGTTTCCTTCCCCTTTAAGGAGCTGAGAGCCGACGGGGCTCTGCCGACAAAGTGTCATGTTTTGATAGCAAAACCACTGACAGCGAAAAATCACGTAGCTGAATTAAGAGCTATCTGCTGTAGTAATTTAAATCAGTGGCTTTCAGACTTGTTTCTTCCCT